TAGTCTATACTTCATAATGAAATTACGATATCAACTTAAATAGTCCCCGGCAACGGCGCCAAAAACTTGATCGCGACTTTATCGTCTAAATTAATCGGGAGACTGTAAGTATACAGCCCTATCGCGTAGTTTTAAAAGATATCGAACCTAAGGGACTATAAATCGAACTAACGTAACCTAAACTACTATGTAAAGCTATAGCTATCGAATAATTGATTAGGGGAATTTTTGGGTAATAAAACTTAATTCTAATTGAAATAATAATAATGCTAATATCGGTATGTACTTCATTAACATTTAAAGAATCCGGCTTTCCACTGGCTTATTTTCAAAAAATGGTAATAATATCTTTTTCAGCAAAAAGTATTTATTCAAAAATCTATTCTCAAACTTTCGCTCTATTGAAGTAAATTATAATTTTAAACTCTGATGTATGCTTTCGCTATCCCATTGATTTTAAAATTACTTTTTGAAAATAAATAAAGTTTAATTGGTTTTAAAACGCTGTCGCAGTCTTTAAAAACAATACCTAGTATCTACTATATGATTCTAAACCTCAAACTGTCGCTCTATTGGTTTCTAATCTTAGTCGGTTTATTAACCTCAAACTTTCGCTCTGTTGGTTTCTAAACCTTTTTAACAAAATAAACTAGATAACTAAATCAGAAAAAGTGTTTATTTTATAAAATATAATCAAGCCTGTTTATTCCGGATCCATTCAAATTAACTCGTTACATACCGATATTTAAATAATTTTAGCCAGACATACTCATAAAAACAGACATGGATACATTAAAGGAATTAACATTCATAAATAAATTCATGGCTAAATAAATATCTCATGCAAATAATTAATTAAAGCGATGTAAATAAGGAACCTGAATTAAATAAATGCTGGAAACAATCCTTGAAGCTTGAATCAATTCGTACAAAATCTCGGTTCTTCAACGGAAATAAAATCTAAGTATTCGAAAAGGAAAAGGAGCTGGCTGGAAAATAACTACTAGAAATTGAATTACAATGGAAACTAGTAAATGCGATGAAAGTAAAAATTCTGAAAACTGAAAAAAAATCTAAGCAAAAACGCCCCAAATTTTGATTTCCTGATGTCCTTTTATAGTGGTAGAATGTAACCACTTTTGAGATAATTTCGTACCACTTATCCTCTAATTTCTCGTTCTAACTTGAACACGTTGAGACGGGCGCTTCAATTGACCACGTCCTCCATTGACCATGTTGAGACGGGCGCCTCCCACTAAGGGGAAAGTCCGAGGCGGGCGCCTCAATTGTAGGAGGAGAGATGAGACGTGTGTCTCACTCTTGCATGTGACTTTAGGGTTTTTCTTGCTTGCGTGGGTCTGAATTCGTTTGGGCCTAGTTTGGAGATGATAAACCTTTTGATCCATCATTATTGCTTTGCACACCCCTTTTCTTCATTTCTTGCATACTTAGTCCAATAACTATCTCAATTTCTTCACTTTGCTCAATTTGTCTAATTAAAATAAAATACCTGAAACAATAAAAATACCGGCGTAATATGGAAATAAAATGAAATAATTAAATAAAAATACTAACATTATCTATGAAAATTAAATCAAATATACTATATAAAATTGTGTTATCATTCACCCTTCTGGAGAGGAGGGACAGTTCATCTTCTTCTGATGAGGACCCATCAGAGGTTTCTTCCACAGCCTGCAAAACTTTGGAGTCAGATTTTCTGTTAGATTTTAAAGCTAATGGCTTACCTTGCTTTTGAGGTTCATCTGCTTCTAGCTCTATCTCGTGACTTCTGAGGGAGCTGACAAGTTCCTCCAGAGAGATTTTGTTGAGATCCTTGGCTAGCTTAAGTGCTGTGACAATTGGCCTCCATTGTTTTGGCAAGCTTCTGATGATCTTCTTAACGTGATCAGCAGTGGAATACCCTTTGTCAAGGACTTTTAGACCAGCAACCAGAATCTGAAATCTTGAAAACATAGTTTCTATTGATTCACTTTCTTCCATCTTGAATGCCTCATACTTCTGAATGAGTGTAAGGGCTTTGGTTTCTTTGACTTGAATGTTGCCTTCATGCGTCATTCTCAGAGAGTCAAACATATTCTTTGCAGTGTCTCTGTTTGATATCTTCTCATACTATGAATAAGAGATGGCGCTGAGAAGAATTGTTTTGGCCTTGTGATGATTTCTGAACTCATGCTTTTGCTGATCAGTCATTGTTTTCCTGTCAATCTTCTGACCACTTCCATCCATTGGGTGTGTGTATCCATCAGTCACCATGTCCCACATATCAGTATCATGGGCCAGAAAGAAACTCTCAATTCTGTCTTTCCAGTAGTCAAAGTTCTCTCCATCAAATACTGGAGGTTTTCCACTGAATCTGTCTCTTTCTTCATTGTTGTCATTGTTGATGTTTTGATTTGGTCCTGCCATTGTGTTTTTCTGACGCTGGATCTTGTACTGACACGGTTAAGTGTTATAAGCTCAGAACCAGGAGCTCTGATGCCAATTGAAGATGTGAAAAACACAAGAAGGGGGGTTGAATTGTAAAAACTTAAATCAAATGCTAGACAACACTGTATTTTTATCCTGGTTCGTTTGATCTCAAACTACTCCAGTCCACCCGTCAAGGTGATTTCTCCTCTCTCCAACGAGGTCTTAATCCACTATATTCAAAGGATTACAACACTACTTTAACAACTGTTAAAGCCTTCTTGAGTATAACCACAAACCGGTTTATCTCAAGGAAATCTCTTACAGAAAATTGAATAATAATGTGTTTAACGTTTTCTAATAAAACAGTATATCACAATTGTGATAATTACACAATTTGAAGCTTAGAGTAAATCTAAATTTGCTTAGCGTTTGAGTGAGCGTGGTGTTTGAAAGCTTAGCAAATTATGAGAGCAGCGTGTATGCGTGTATATGCGTGTGTCTTTTCTAATGCAGATTTGTTTATATAGGCCAGGTAAATGTACGTTGTCCATAAAGCCCATTTACTGATAATAACGCACTTTCCTATTTGAGAAGATCTTGTCTTGAAGAGAGCCGTTAGCAATTAATTCTGTCTTGAATACCTTAATAATGCTTCAGAGCTTTCTTTGCTTAGACTTAAGATAACGCTTCAGATTTTTCTTTGCTTAGACTTAAGATAACGCTTCAGATTGTTGATGACTAGGTAAAGAACTTGATCAGAGTCAGAGTGTTTTATGCGCAGATTCTGGTCATCAAGCTTCAGCGTATAATCTGGTAGCTTCAGCGTTACTGATCTTCTGATGCTGATGCTGATTCCATCAGAACTTCTGTATACACAGAACATAATTTTAAGAAGCATATTTGTCTTATATATAAATCATACAATTTATTTATTCTTTGTATTTTGTTATCATCAAAACTCTAATTAAGGGTTGTAGAATCAAACTATGTTCTAACATTCTTGACCAAGTCGAGCAGCGTCCGCGGCCAACTAGCTTACTTCTTGCCCTTGTATCTTGAGCATGAGCGTTCCATGTGATCTGATCTTGGTGTTGATAGAAATATTGAAGATTGTAGAGCAACTTTCATGTTGCACTCGAGTCAAAATCACGCTTGTAGCATGCTTTAAAATGGCCACAAAGTCAGGGGATCGTAATTGATAGAGGTACCAGTAATTTTCCTAACACCATCAATTATCCATCAACATCATATCCTATACTTCATGGTTTAATAACTTGAAATATAGAACTCTTCAGGACAATGTCCCAAGATCAAAGTTGAAGAGAGAATTCTTATGAACAACTTTTGGGTTGAAAGTTTCTTGAAATAACGCTTGAAACATGCTAAAAAACAGTCACGAAGTCGTGATGTCAAAGCTGGTTATAGCAGATGAAACTTCACTAGGCTGAAGATCCAATCATCAACTCCATTGTTATGATTTCAAAACTCCATAACTTTCTCAATAATAATCCAAATGAGGCAAACTTTATGTCATTGGAAAGAGAAAAAATAATACAATAATTTTATAGTTAACTACAGCCTGATATAATGCCTGCAGCCACATGAAAATTAAGCTCAAAGCTAGCCACCTAACCATTTTGAAAACTTTCAAAATTTCACTAAGTATAGATATTCAAGAATTATGAACACTCATCTTTCACGCCTTATAACTCAAAATCTAAGCGCTTTTGGAGATAAGTCCTCAAGGACAAAAATGGAGTATGAAACTTCTTCTTTCAAATGAGTATGAATTTACAACTTTCTGACCACACGTGAATGAGATATAGAGCTGCAAAGATGGCTAGAGGAACACAAAAACTCTTAAAACTTAGAAAAAATTCTAAGTGTCCAAATTACTTAAAATGCAAGAAACTTCAATTTTGGTCGATTCTTTCGAGTTTTCTCAACAGCTTATCACATTTTCTCTCATTTTGTCTTTTGACAATAATTTTGACCAAAAATCCCATTTGGTCAACCTTTGATTTTCTATTGACTTTTGTTTATACACGCCCAGTCTCTTCCTATTCAATCAAATCTTGATTTTTCTGATTAAATATGGAGATCAACGGACCACATGTAGATGTTTTAAGACTAATAGAAGACCGTGAAACCTTTTGAAGCTTAAAGGTTCAGTCATAACATGCCAGTGATCAAAAACCCTAATTCAAATGAGGTATCTTGACAAATCTCTTGAACCAGCAAGTATCATGCATAGGGAGAATACTTGTAATGATGAGACTTTAGATATTCAACCCTTATAAGTAAAAAAAGTTCTCTTGAATAGTGTATATTCACCCAACCAAAACCCTTGATCCATATCGTTGAGTTAATGCAATACAAATAATGAATATGACGATGAAGCATTAGTTATTTTGTTTGTAAGCAAGAGAGTAAATTTTAGAGTACAATAGTCGTTAATAAGAAAGAAAATAAATAATTATATAAATCTATTGCAATATCCTATCTTTCTGTCGGTAAAATATTAGTTAACCCATATAAACAACCATCTTCTTTAGTACGTCATACAACTAACACCAACACAAACTTCTAAAACACCTGACCATACACATAACACCAACACAAACTTCTAAGACACCTAACCATACACATACGTCCAATTCCCGACACAACGCACTTACACAACAAATCCAAACTACATAATTTAACCCATAATTCCAATAACAACAACAATTTAACCTCCAATTTTCACAACAAAAATCATAGTCATACATATACATAAACACTTTAATCAAACTACAACTTTCAAACACCTCAACAATAAATTTCATATAATTTAAATAATAATTAATAATTTAAATAATAAAACAATTTAATAAATATGATATATAAAATGAAACAAATAAAAACGAGATGGTTTCATTAAGCAATTAAAGAGGCGCCAGTTGAATTATGAGACCCATGTAGTAATTTTAAAAACAGAGATAAAACTAAAGCTCTAACAAACCAGCTATTTTTTATAAGGAATTGAGTAATAAAACGGTGTTATATATTTTATAAAACTCAAAGCCTATCTGCTTTACTGAGACATAAAATACACAATAAATAGATATTATTTTGATTAGGTAAAAGAAATGAAAGCGGAAAGTAACTTCCAAAAAACAACACAAACACGTCATAATGAATGCCAGATTTCATCTTACAAGATCCAACTAAAAAATGCACTCAACTCTAGAATGTCTTCCAACCCCACTCGGACACAAACTCTCATCTAAAAAAGTAGCACACAGCTAAGTCGGTGAAAATCAAACGCGTTCCAAGTGCTGCTGGTGACTCACCAAACGCGTGTCCCTTTCTCTCATTCTTATCCACCAATTAAAAACCCCTTTTTACTATTACTCATTCTCCATATATAAAATCAGTTACCCTTCTTCTCGTTTCACAAAATCATTAACATCTATGGCTTTCTTTCTATGCTTCTTCGTTCTCTTTCTCGCTTCCTCTGCAACCGCTTGTGATCGATGCTTACACCAATCTAAGGCTTCTTATTTCTCCAAACCCTCTTCTCTTTCATGTAACGATCCTTCATTAATTTCTTTCAATTTTAATCTCATAAAATATATACAATCATTTTTTTAATAATTTGCAGCTGGAGCATGTGGTTATGGCTCTTTAGCGCTTGACCTTAGTCGTGGACAATTTGCTGCTGGTGTTGCTTCACTCTTCTCTAATGGAGCTGGTTGCGGTGCTTGTTTTCAGGTTCGTACACCAATCATTACAACCGTTGGTCACATTTAGTTCATTCTTAAGAAATTAATGAAAATATTTATTTAGGTAAGATGCAAGAACCAAGCTATATGCACAAAAGAAGGAACAAAAGTCGTATTAACGGATCTTAATCCCAACAATCAAACTGATTTTGTTCTAAGCACCAGAGCTTTCACTGCCATGGCTCAAAAGGGAAAGAGCCAACAAATTTTAAAGCTTGGCATTCTTGACATTGAATACAAGAGGTAACACCCTTTAATTAAACCACTTTTTTCTAGCTTTTCTTTAGCAATATCTTGTTTTTAGATAAGTTTTCCACTTTTTCCTTTTCTTCATCTAACTTTTGTTTTTTTCCACATTCTTGTTATGCCAGCAATTTTCGTAGGTCCCACTTCCCACCTAGCTACTTCACACTAACACTGGTCCACCTTCGAAAAAAATGAATACCTATTTTCTTCAATTATTATATGAAATTATGAACCCCTAAGAAAATTATGTTGCGCATTAATAATAGTAACGGTCTAATTTGTACAAAATATAATATAATGTGAGATTTTTTTTTTGTCTCTTTGCACAAAATTCATGATCATGTATATATGTTTACCGAAACAAACACTGATTTATCTCACGTGGATTTGAATGGTGCAGAGTACCTTGTGAGTACAAAAAACAAAATTTGGCTGTTCGTGTTGAAGAATCAAGCAAGAAACCAGATTACTTAGCAATTAAATTTTTGTTTCAAGGTGGCCAAACAGAGATAGTAGGTGCTGATGTGGCTCAGGTATGTATATTATACACTATATGTTACATTAATGTGTGCTAAAAAAAATTCATTAAAAATAATATTAATTAACTATTGGTTTTTGTGGCTTATTTAGGTTGGATCTTCACAGTGGAATTATTTGAGTAGAAACCATGGTGCAGTGTGGGACACAAGTAGGGTTCCACAAGGGGGATTACAATTAAGGTTTGTGGTTACATCAGGGTATGATGGAAAATGGATTTGGGCAAAGAAGGTTTTACCAGCTGATTGGAAAAATGGGGTGATATATGATACTGATGTTCAGATTACTGAAATTGCACAAGAGGGGTGTTCAACATGTAATGATGAAACATGGTGATGATTTAGGACATATTATTCATGTGATGAATTAATTAACCTACATAACATATACATATTGATTTTTGTTTTAGGTGGCTTTGATTTTATTTACACTGTATTATAGGATTAGAAACCAACTTATGTAATATCCAAAAAATTTATATATGTGGAGTAGTTAGATGAAATTAAAATGTGTATTATCATTTATCACTACAAGAAAATTCCCATATAGCAACACAAAATAACCGTAGGTACTCTTTTCTTTTTCTTTCAATATAATTTTTTTTTAGCTTATTGATGAAATTTGAATTTTATCATTAAATAATGATTTTTCTTTTTCTTTCAATATAATTTTTTTTGTATAACTTATTGATGAAATTTGAATTTTATCATTAAATAATGATCCTTATGAATAAATTTTGACAATGTGAAGTTTTAAGATTTTTATTAATAAAATAAGTTTTCAAACATCTTATTAAATAATCTTTTAGTACTGTTCTAATTGATGTTATACTAGTAACTTACACAGAAATTTGTGTGACGATATTAGGATTAAATATGTTTTTATATTTTTTTAGTATTTTTAAAATTTTGATTTTTATAATTTAACCATAAAATTAACAATAATTTTAGCGATAATTTTTTATTTAATTATTAAATTAGCAATAATTTTAATAATTAATTTGATAGAAGAGATTAAAAGTCAAAATTAAAAATTTTTAGAATGATTATTATTTGAAGAAAAGTGATAATTTTTTATTTAATGATTGAATTAGTGATGATTTTAATAATTAATTTGATAGAACAGATTAAAAGAATTAGTGATAATTTTAATAATTAATTTGATAGAACAGATTAAAAGTCAAAATTAAAATTTTTAGAATGATTATTATTTGAAAAAAAAAAGTTGAAAGGATTGAAAATAAATATAAGATATTAGAATGATTATTATTTGAAATTTTTTTTTGAAAGGATTAAAAATAAATATAAGATATTTAAGAGGATAAAAACATATTTAACTTTAGATATTATTATTGTTTTTAGGTAAAATTTTTACTATTTTTTATAAAAAATTTATAATATGTATCAATTAAATTTTGTCAAATAAAGAAATTTTAAAATCATATATTAAAATCTAAAATCTTAAATCAAAATGAAATTAATTAAAATGAAATTAAAAAAATAATATATAATTTAATTTTTGAGTAGTGAGATATTGGTGTGTCAAATTTGAATAATGATTCAAGGAGAATATTAAATATTTTGGAGTGAGAAACAGTATAAATTCAATATTTTTAAGATTTTAAATTAATATGTGATTTTAGAAATTAATTGTATGTGATAAAATTTAATTGGTATAAGTTATTACATTTAAATTATCTTTAATTTTACAAGGGCTAGTTTAAGTCTCTATTATATTATTATATTATTATTATTATTATTATTATTATTATTATTATTATTATTATTATTATTATTATTATTATTATTATTATTATTATTATTATTATTATTATTATTATTATTATTATTATTATTATTATTATTATTTATTATTATTATTATTATTATTATTATTATTATTATTATTATTATTATTATTATTATTATTATTATTATTATTATTATTATTATTATTATTATTATTATTATTATTATTATTATTATTATTATTATTATTATTATTATTATTATTATTATTATTATTATTATTATTATTATTATTATTATTATTATTATTAATATTATTATTATTATTATTATTATTATTATTATTATTATTATTATTATTATTATTATTATTATTATTATTATTATTATTAATTATTATTATTATTATTATTATTATTATTATTATTATTATTATTATTATTATTATTATTATTATTATTATTATATTATTATTATTATTATTATTATTATTATTATTATTATTATTATTATTATTATTATTATTATTATTATTATTATTATTATTATTATTATTATTATTATTATTATTATTATTATTATTATTATTATTATTATTATTATTATTATTATTATTATTATTATTATTATTATTATTATTATTATTATTATTATTATTATATTATTATTATTATTATTATTATTATTATTATTATTATTATTATTATTATTATTATTATTATTATTATTATTATTATTATTATTATTATTATTATTATTATTATTATTATTATTTATTATTATTATTATTATTATTATTATTATTATTATTATTATTATTATTATTATTATTATTATTATTATTATTATTATTATTATTATTATTATTATTATTATTATTATTATTATTATTATTATTATTATTATTATTATTATTATTATTATTATTATTATTATTATTATTATTATTATTATTATTATTATTATTATTATTATTATTATTATTATTATTATTATTATTATTATTATTATTATTATTATTATTATTATTATTATTATTATTATTATTATTATTATTATTATTATTATTATTATTATTATTATTATTATTATTATTATTATTATTATTAAATTAATTGGCACGTATTGTCAGTGTAAATTATTTTACATTTGCAGTACATCACAACTACTCATATGTAATATTTTTGAAGTCAAATAATTATAAAAATTTGACAGTTAATTATAACTGACGATGTAAAATTGCTTTCTACTGCCGATTTATATCAATTAAATTATATTACTATTATTATTACCATTACTATTTACTATTATTATTATTATTATTATTATTATTATTATTATTATAATAGATGATGATGATGAACTGAAACATAAAGTTTTTGATATCGTGACAATGACTGTCATGAAGATGTTTATAGTGTGACAAAGATGATTCTTTGATGATTGGAGAGAGTAGCTGCAAAAAAGATCGTATTTAGTAAGGGTGGATAATCGGTCGATTTAAGTCGAAATTGAGAATTTTTTTCCATAATGTCACAAGGCTGGAAAAAAAGTTTCAAAATGCCACACCCTAAAATTTTTTCCCCAAAATACCATATATCAAAACCCTTCTGCCATTTCAGATGGCGTGAGGAACCCACCATTTTTCAAAGACAATAAGCTTCCGCCATTTGAAATGGCGCAAATCTTCTTTTTTGTTTTTTTTGTTTTGATTTTCTGATATTTAATTTAATATAACTTTTTTTTATTTAAATTTATTAATTAATTATAAATAGCTAGAAATTTATTAAATATATAATTAAACAAAAAATAAATAAAAATAATTATAAACAATAATATTGTTACATGAATTAATGTTGATGATCAAAACGAGTACCAGTAAAACAAAAACGCGATACTCGAACACAATGACTAAAACCGTATTATTGTGTTTCTTGGGTCTCTTGTGTTGGAGATGTTGGAAGAGGATTTTCTTGTGTTGTAGATGTTGGCGGAGGATTTTCCTGTGTTGGAGTTATAGGCGGAGGAGGAGACCAAATGGATTCTTCAAAATCGTAATCACTAACGTTAAGATCCAAGCCATAATTGGTAGTGGATTGTGTGTACGGGGTTTGTTGTGGCTGGCACATGGTTGGAACATAAGAGGTTGTGGTGGTTGAATGTTATAGGTTGAAGGATTATGTTGGGAGTAGGGGGTCAAAGTTTGGTGGCGGGACAGGTGTAAATTGCATGGTTGGACGATTATATGTTTGTGGTTGTTACGTTTCGTAGATGTAATTTGATTGGGAGTGAGATGGGGTGTATTAGGTGTTTAAGGTTTGTTGTTGGTAAAGTAGGGGATAGGAGTTTGTAGTTGGGAATAATCGGGTGTGATACGGTGGGAGAACTGACTTGAAGGTTTTGCATTTGATCGCAAATGTTGCGGTTTAGCAAGATTCGTCATCGACTTTTCTTTTATCCAAAAGGAAAGGCGAAAAAGCATATGAAAGACCTTTGAGATTATTTCTTGAGTTAGGAGGGTAGATTATGAAAAGGGAAGGTATTAGCACCATTTTTATCCATGGTTTTCCATGGGCTCTTAGTTACTTGCTAGATCACTTGCTTTTGTTTGAAATTGTGCTTTGTGTGGTTTTTGAAAGTATTTTGTAAAGAGGCCATTGTTTAGGCAAACTTTGTAATGATTCTCGTTCGTAAGAATGTATACAAAGTGTTTGATCTTTTGAAAATGTTTTCAAGTTTGTAAGATGTTTTGAAAGTGTAGGTGTTTGTTTTGAAAATAGAAAGGATGTTTTGTTTTGAAATGGAGCAAGTAATTAGGAGCATTCTACCTACTCAAAAGTCTTTCATGTTCATTTCCTTTTTCTTTGACATTGTTATCTTACCATTGATTTGGTAAGTAACCATATCTTTGGATGTAAACGGGACGGGCGTGGGTCATCGTATAACCATGATTAGCAATGCTGCAAGGTATCTTAGCATTATCTTTTAGGGACTAAGATCATTTGAAAGGCAACTTAGATAGTGTCATCGAGGGACTACGATCTTATATTTTGCTTGTTTTTGCTAAGATATCTCACATGCGTAATATGGCCATTTAGTAAGGCAACCAAGTGGATTTTACCCTAAGGCCCAAAGGGAGGCCCAGTGATTAAAAAGAAATTAAATTTATAGGAAAAGTATTTTTGGTATTTTTGTCTTGAGAATAGTTTATAGTATTATAAAATATTTTTTTGGTCTTTTTAAATGTTAGAATAATAAATTTAAATTGTGTAAAAGAAAATAATTAAAACCCTAGCGTTTAATTAAATTTATAAAGTATTTAGTGAAATAAATAAAGTATGATAAAATAAAATAATTTTTGTGTGAGAACAAATAGATGAACTATGTCCAAACATAAATCTACTATTTTTATATTTTTTATGATTTTTTAGTATTAGAAAAATAATTAAGAAAAAAAATAAATAAGAAAATAAAAAAAAAGAAAATAAAACTGGGCCAAGGGTGTGAATAGCCTGCAAGGGGGTTAACAACAAGAAAAAAAAACATAAGGCCCAAAGGGAGGCCCAGTGTCTGCCAAAAAGAAAGTCA